GACGATGCAGGTCTCGGCCTGTCACACTTTTCGGGATGCTGCTCCTTTTTTTTTTTTACTCTTATTTTAATATTGTCAAAATTATGATACGTGTCTGCGATTGTCGGTAAGTTATTGAAGGTTATTACATGAGGTTTGGTTTAAAAGTATTTATTTAGTACAAATAAATAATTTTTATTATATAGTTATAAAGTAAGCACATGAGCACTGAAGAAAATTTAATGCTGAGTTCCCCATTTTTTAAAACATAAAAAAAAAACAAACACAAAAATGACAATTAATTATTTGAGTTATTTTTAAACCGGACAAAAAGAGAGAGAGAGAAAGAGAGAGAGAGAGAAAGAGAGAGAGATGAATCTCTCGGCGGCGAAACGGAAACGAAAACTCGATATGATGGACGATATTCCATTGTGTGTGTTTTTGTGCCGAGAGATGAATTACTTAAAGGGGTGATTTATCACGAGTCGGAAACAATTTGCTCGGGTGATATATGAACTCGAGTCGGGTCATACATCACAATCTTTAACCGACGAACTGCCGACGGGAGTACGGATTTGGGTACGCCTAATATATATAATGTAATAAATATGATACATAATAATTAATTTCGTTGGGCGGATTTTCGGGGGAGAACGCGATTTGCGCATTCGTTTAATCCGTTCTTAAGAGCCGGATTAGAGTTTCGGATCGTTTCGATCCGATCGGCCGGCGGATTGGGAGCTTGAGTCGCAGAATTTTTTGTGGTACTGTAAAGTACCAAAAAAGTACGCAAAGGGGATGAGTCGTAAACGAGGCGACGCGATGCAGTCGAGGCTTCACGTGAATTACACGATACATTTTTAATTGTCACCTTGAGGGAGGAGGGGAAAGCTTTCACAAATCGGCACATGCCGGCAGATGGAGCACGAGATAAGACCTACGACGGGGTGGGGGGGGGGGGGGGGGGGGGCATCATTAAGGACCATTTCCTATCCATCCTCCGGGAATAAAAAAGAAAAAGAAAAATCCATTTGGAGCACTGGCAATAGACCTCTGCTCGCAGATGCTTTCACTGGACTGTAATTAACGGAGTTCCAATTCATTCTCAACCTGTGTGCCGGTGTAGGACGCGAAACTTGCTGGAAACCCTCGCCGTGGGGGGAGTACCCCGAGTACCCCGAGTACCCCGAGTCCTTGTCCGGTGACTTCCGGTAATGGCATCAAAGATGCAAGGAGGGCGTTCAGGGATAGAGAGCAAGGTGTCGCCGTGAAAGAGATGAGATGAGATGAGATGAGAATGAGAATGAAACGACCCCTGCGAAGGGGGTGATGGATCCCTGACCGATACTTTCAGCCTCCGCCGCTAGATGTCGTTAGCAAGACCAGGTGATTCTGAATGAAGGTGCATAGGAGATTAAAAGTTAAATATCTGACTCGGGATAAAATAGTCAGGGAAGTCTACAGCGACCCGAGGCTAGTAGTTGGAAAAGGAGTAGAAACGTCCCGGTCCGGAGTTTTAAAGGACATCGGGTCCAGTCGACGCTGGCCTCACGGTCCGTAGTGGGCCTGCCGGCTTGAGGGCGTCCGGAGAGTGCGCTCGCAGCGCCGCAGGTGGATGTAATTTGCGCCAAAGCTACTAGGAAACTTAACTGCTTAAAAATCCTCTCTGGAGCCGACAGGTGCGAATCCCGTGTGATCCTAAAACTCTTGCACTTACCTTCGCCCTGTACCTTACCCTTTGCCATAAGCCTTTGCTAACTGCCTCGAGGCGGGTCCTCGGCCCGCTCGAAAGAATCGAACGAGCTGCAATCAGATATGCCTTTCGACTTCCTACTTATTATTTTAACTCCTATATCTATCGAATAAGCGGACTAACACCTCTTCCCCAACCTCCCTCTGAATTAGCACTTAACTACTTGAACGACCCTAAAAGGCCAGGAGACATTAAGGAAATACCCTCAAAACTAAATAAAGAATTTACCATTGGGCGCTTCAAACACAGAAAAACGTATCCTTTCCATAAAATTCTTGAACGCCCCCCTGCCCCCCTTCCCAGCNGTAGAAAGGCGACCCTTCGAGGGGTCGGAGGGGGGTCGGGGGGGGGGGGGGCGGAGGGGGGGGTCGGGGTCGAAACGTCACAGAGAAATCTGGTGGCTCGTCATCGAAACGGTTCCACGAGGCGTGGTTCGTGGCAGCGGAATCGGGAATCGACTCGTTCGGGGATTCCACGGAAAGGGATCTCTGGACACGCGTGTCGGCCGTGGAGACACGCGTGTCTCCACGCACGTCGATGTGCGTGCGGTGATGTTGCGATCCGGGCGACGAATGGGATTCGGGCGGAGGGGAAGCCTCTGGGGACGCTTTCGATGGTTCGAGCATTGACTAAGCCCGGAAGGTTTGGGTGCGGACGGGAGACGGAGTTGGTCGGGACGGATCCGATCGCGCCTTTTAAAATTTCTCACTCGGGCCGCCGCGACCGCGGGTCGAGACGAAGCGGGTCGGGGCCCGACGTCTGTGACAGGAGAGCTCTTCGTCCTCCGGAAGGTTTCGTCTCGCTTCGCGATGAGGAAACCGAGCGGCTCGATCGCTGGCGAGGGTGTGCATCTGTCGCGAGGAAAATAAATACGTGCTTCGTCGTGTCGTCCCCGAGGCCGAGGAAGGGTCGCCGAGGCCGACACCCGGTATCCCACGGGCGAAACGACGAATCGCGTGTCGGACGCTCCCCGTTCGTCCCTTGGGATCGCCGCGGGACGCGACGGCCGTAACGATACGAAGGCGTCAGTCTCCGATGCGACGGCCTCGTTCGTGTCGCAGAAGCGAAACATACGAAAAAAAAGAATCGTTCATCGAAGAGTCGTTTGGGTGCGTGCGTAGTGACATTAGCGAACGAGGATTTAATGGATAGATTGGGCGGACGCAAACCACTACGGTAGTCAGCCACGCAAACTTCATTACGGTAGTCGCAATAGCGTACGCGAAAATACAATAGTCGGTTTTAACAGGAGTCAGATTCGCGTACTACACCGGGGGAGGGGGAGGGGGAGGGGGGGGGGAAAGGGGGACGTGTGCCTCGAGAGCTTTTATTTGGCCTGTCGCCGAAAGGGAGGACAAGGAGGTCTCGAGGCTTTTCAGTATGTAATTGAGCGACTTTTTACGGAGTGGACAGGGAACGTAACGAACCGCTTCGAGAGCATGTCACCTCTCGGCTTCGGCCCACGCTCTTAATAAGGGATTGTGACGGGGGGGGGGGGGGGGGGGACGTAATTTCATCAGGAATGTATTGGGGGAGGTGATCGATAATGTGGCTGCAATGGAGACTGATTGCTTTTGTCGGGGGTCGACCTGACCTTGTTCTGGGTACGTTTAAGAGAAATGCGGTGGGGAAATGTTGAGACGCATCTGGATTTTTTTTTTCTGTTGAACGAAATAATCCGCAAAAAAATTCAGGCACAGGTAGCGCGTTGAAATGAAATTAAAAAAATTATGAGTTTGAATTAATCTCGAAACGATGCTAAGAGAACTCGAAATCAACCTTTCATAAATTCAGGGGGCATCGTTTTCCTATTTTTAAATTAGGCTCATCGCGTATGGAAGTCCGTGGATGCAAATATCTCGTAGCCAAAAAACGTGCCGAAAAAAGGCTAATTGCTAATTCCGCAGACGGAACGAAAACAATATTTTTTTAGCAAACTCGAGCATGTGAGTGAACGAGGAGGTAATTCCAACTTCTCGCTTGGGTACATTTTCCCCCTTCGGTCGGTTGGAGAGTTACTTGGACAAATTGGGCATCATCAAGGACAAAGGGGAAAAAGAGCAGAAATAACGGAACGCTGCCACGAGCAGCCTCTTCCCGTTCGTTAACAATAAGCGACGAAGGATGGGGGTGAATGACGTGGAACATCCTCCCCCTCCTCCTCCTCCAGCGAGGTCGAGTGCAGTGGGTGCGCTTAGGTTTCCATGGCAACTGCGACCGGCTTGGATGGAAAAAAGTGACTAACTGATCTCCACACCTGCTTCTTTCCCACGTCACTGGCATGCAAATGGACCAGGGTGAATGGTGGCAGAGGCAAGATGTCCTCACGGAAAATTGCTATGCGCCTATCCCCAAGGCGCAAATGAGTTCGTAAATGAGTCATTTGGGTCATTAAGAACTCCTTGCGCTCAAGCCTGCAAAGGAATCTACTAAGGTCTTAAAGGTCACATCTTAAGAGTCCGTGACGATCGGGAGCAATTTGGTGCTTAATTCTGCGATCAGATTTCGAATTCTGACCTGTTTCCAGATGACCCAGGAAAAAAAAAAGATTTGGTAAATTAATTACAGCGAAAGAGAAACAATGGAAATACTAAGGATTTCTGGTTAACAAAAAAATAAACAAAATGAAATCAACTTAGTTCTTCACCCTTAACCACTTTACCACAACTTCTAATCCTACTCATTCCATGGCAGAAAATGGCAAAGGCAGGCAAAAACCATATGAACAATGTGAGTTCAGTGCCTCAGAAAACACAGGATATTTCCATTTTCTTCAATAACTCACACAACTACAGCAGCAATAAGACTACAGATTGTGGGAGACAATATTTTTTATTATAGGAGAAAAGCCCAGGAATTTCCTTCCCTTATCAGATACTGTAATATATTCACACACTCACCAAGTGAACTACTGACATGAATGTACACGGCAAATTAAAGAGATGTGTCTCTAAAGTGGACTCCAAATATGACCGGACGATAATGAAAAATACGTGAATCCAAAAAAAAAAGGAAAAATAGACTTCAACCTCTTGGCTCGAACTGAAAAAAAGGACACGAAAAGGAGGCTTCTCCGTGCTGTCATTCATCCGTCCCTGCAGCTCACATTCATACATCGACATCCATGGGAAGCTGTGAAGCAGAGCAAAGCAATAGTAGGCCAAGTGAAAGAGAAGACCCAAACTTCTACAAAAGAGAGGAAGAGGAACAAAAAGAAAGGAAGTCTATGGAACCAGGTCAAGGGGAAGGGGAAGGGGTGGGATACTTCTTAGATCGCATCGATGTCAAGATCCTCATCCTCGTGGCCTGCAGCAGTGGCCGCCCTGTTTGCCGGCTTCTTGGGCTCCACCTTCGGTTCTTGCTTCAGCATCGTCACGCAAGCCCTGTCGTCGTAGCTGATCTGCACGGAGAGAGGGATGGACCCGTTCAGTCTCGCGACGTTCGATGCCATAAAACAACTACCGAGCACAACCGAGACGACAGTCACCTCGAGGTCTTCTTCGTCCTCATCAGATCCTTCCGAGCTCTCCTCCTCTTCTGCTTCTTTAAGCCATTTGAGGAACGGCTCTGCCTTTGCACGGATTTCTGCGCTCAGTTCCTTGGTGACATATTTCTTGCTAGGTTTCTTACCCCAGTCCAAGATCACTTCCTCCTCCAATATGTCAGAATCATAGAGAACCTAAGAATACAATTGAATACATCAACCTTGAAGCCTTCCTTGTATCGAAAATGCCATTAAGGATGGTGAACTCAGAACCGACCTTAAGGATGTGGGGAACCTTGGGCAGCAGAGCAGCCTTGTGCAGCTGGATCACCAGTTCAATACCTCCCATAAGATACTTCTGAGCTCTAGTGTTCTCATGAGTGAACCTCAGCAGAAGCAGACGATGAGATTTAATCTGCAATCCAAACACAGTGTCAACACCACATGATCCCTTTGGAGTAGCTTAGCTACAGTGTTTCTGAGGTGTGAGTGGAATACAAATGAATACTTCAAAGTCTCTTAGGCAGATGCAGTCCATCCTGGGAATAGTCTCACAATGAAATCTACCCCTTATTGGAATGCAAACAAGAGATGCACTGAGTGATTCTTTTCTGTAGAAAATGCACCAGGGTCATTCACCACAGAATGCAAGAAGGGCATTGTGAAAATGATGCAATCAAGTCTATAACAGAGCAGAATGAAGTTCAAATGAGGATGCAAAACATCATAATGCTTGAGGAACCCAGCATGTGCATTATTTTCACAATTCTGCTTCATATCCCCATTTGAAATTTAATACACACTTGCATGCACTCTGTTGTGCAATGTAATTGCTGCTCTGCATTTCTAGCATTTTCAGTGAATAGCACTGCCCTTTCCATTTTCTGTGACCAAAAAACAAATTCAGTTGTGCATTTCTTGTTTGGTGTATAAGGGTACTGCCATCTTTGCAATAATATTCCTAGGATCCAAAACATCTGCCAAGCCTGAATGCTGCATTGCATGGTGCCAATAGCCCACTTTCTCCATGTTACACTGCAGATATGTAGAAGGTGGGCCAAAAAAATGTCATCATCACTCCACAGCACTGGTTCCCAAAAGTTTGCTAAAATTGCAATAGTGCCTAGAACATTCATTCCCCATGATGTCAACAAAATAAATATTCACTGCATAACTTCCATGCAATTAGATAGAGTGTAAGAGATGGGCTGGAAATGAGAAAAATGCCTTGGCAAAATTGTGAATGTGAAAGCAAAGGAATGGATGTCACCTGGAGTACCTCTTGCAGGGTATTGGTAAGTGCACCTTTCAACTGCTACTTCCATTTCTCTATGCATAACTGCATTGGAATGACAGTAGGGATCTTTACTTTTTTGACGGCAGTGCTAGATAAATGTTCCATAGAGGAATGCTATTGCAATATTTTCAAACTCTTGAGAAATTATGCGGTGAAGCATTAAAGATAGCCAAATATTTTTTTTTTGGCCCACCCTATAATTACATTCATATCTCACTTGCTGCAGAGACTTAACAGGTTTCATTTGTACTTTCCTCTATAATGGGACTTCAGAAGAACACTACACCTGTTGAAGGATGTTTGCATCAAACAGAAGTTCTGACAGAAGAAGAGGAACTTTTTCCTTGACATCAAGTCGTTCCGCTTCAGCCAAAATATCCTTGTCAGAACCATGAATCTGATTGAAGTCTATCTTGTGCTTTATGAAGCTATACAGCATATCCACTCTCTCCTTCAAAGAGAATATAAATGACAGTCAAGTGGGAATTAGGACATGTGCAAACAAAACAATCATAGAAGTTTTGAAAACATAACATTGATATCAGTCTTACTTTCTCTGTCTTTTCAAGATCGTTATTGATAGCCAAGGATTTGGCACCTTCTGTGAGGTCCTCCATCCGTCTTCGAATGGCTTCCTCACTCACATCAACAGCCCAGTCATCATGGTGACCATCAAACTGCAAAAGAAAATTTTTTTTTGTAATTGCATGATGGCAGAAATTCCTTTCCCCTAGAACAAGGAACAGACTTCATCTTCAGCTGCAGGAGGGTCATCGGAATCATCTCGGGGACTCCCGGGTGTGCCATCTGCATTCACACCATCATGACCAGACCCATTCCCATCTCCATTGGTCTTGGTACCCTTACGCTTCTTGCTCTTGCCTTTGGAAGGCGTGGCCAGTGATGACCCACTGGCTGCTGGGTTTTGTTCTGCACAGAGAAATCATCAAGACATCTCCAAGAATTTGTGAAGAATTTTCACATAAACTTCAACTGACTCACCAGGTGGGTTTTTCAGGATGAAAGTGGTGAGTTTATGCCGCATGTCAAGGGTACTGGAGAATCCACAAGCTTTGCAAGACTGAGTGATGATTCCCTTCTTCTGTGAAACATGCAAGGCTGTCTCGGGATTGTCGCATCCGGGACAGAGAACGTATTTCTTGATGAATCCATCCAGCAGAGACTGAAGCTTTGCTGCATCGTGAGATCCATTTACAATGTAACGGTCATTCTTGAAATCAAACTGGGTCTGTGCACCCAATTCACAGCCAAAATACTTGGTCGGATCTGAAAATCACCAGAGGGCATGGGAATGAAAGCATTTGTTGAGGCCTGAAATGGCTAATTATTATTAAGAATACTCACAAGTAGGGGGTCGCCCCAGGGCCTTGGCCACATCCACCATATTGGGGATGACAGTCTTGATCCCATTGCCTTTCCCCTCCACCTTGGCCAAGATGCGAGGCATCTTGTAGCGGTAGAAGGCATCCGAAACGTTGCGATTGACGTTCACACTCCCCATGGTTGTTCCTGGATCACTCCTCAATCACAGATGATTTTCTTCTTTTCACAAGCAATGATTGGTGAGATTGATTGATGAAGATGGTAAAGAATAATGAAATTGATGATGAGAGACAAATAGACAATCACAAATGAAGAGACAAGCTTGTAAGCCTCCAGCTGCCCAGTCACGACCGAAATGGTTGCAGCTTGCGATGGCGGTTACTAGATGTTTTCTGGGCCCTGGAAAAGACAAAAAAATAGCTTTCATCATACGCAGACCCTTTAAAATGGAGAAATTAATGAATATTTTGAGAGGCAGTCTTTAACCCTTTGACTGTTTTAAACACAGGGGGGGGACGGCTGATACGTTTTCGTATAAAGATTGTTTAAAAACAATAGTTTTTTATGTAAGATAATTTCATATCATAACTATTGAAGATAGCTGTTACGTGCATAAATAGCTGCGAAGTAACATAGAAACAGTGAATGTTCTGGGCCCTGAGAACTTTCCCATGCTACCACTGCATAAGCCCAAGTATGTACTCAGGCAAACAGCCAAAGGGTTAACTGGCACAAGCTCACTTGGGTAGCTCTAAGACATCTACTAAAAGGAACTAAGGGGCAGAGGAAGGGGTAATAGGATCAGGAAGAGAGGAGAGGGGAAGGCTCACCAGAGCAAGTGTCAGGCTCTGCATGCCAGTGGATACAACAGACTTCACAAGTACACTCAATTCACTGCAAATGTGTGGCAAAGAGGAGAGCAACACAAAGTTTATATTTTAAGGACAAACAGCAGATTATAAAATTGAACATATGAAAAATAATTGAGAAAGAGGTGAGATATAGCAACCATTCCATCATTTCTCATAAAACAGAGTCATTATACTATTAGTAGAATCTTACAAGGGCATTGAAATGACCAGAGAAAGGCTTCACAGGTAGTTGGCTGGATGTCCTCCATGTTGCATTTCAATACAAACAGCCTGTATGAAAAAGGCATCCAATTGCCCTCAGATTTACTTAACTAATTTACCTTTTTAAAATCCTATAGTAATGTCTCTGTTGACATTCTATATAATAAAAAGAATAGCTGTAAAATAACAGCTTTCCACCTTTTACAGAAGTGCATACTCAGGAAACATTGCTAAGGAAACATGTAGATGGAATTCCTGTTGAAAATGTATGAATTTAAGATATATCAAGGCCTAACTTTTAAATCCATTGCAAAGTAATTTCTCAACTTATATCACCACATCTATTTTCACCAGAACTAATAATCTCTCTATCATTTTGCTTTTAGCTGCAGTACATGTAATTGGGTCCTTCTTTTGAGTAACATCACGGTGAGCAAAAGTCACGATGAGCAGTTTATACAGTGTAATGATTTTAATTACTTATACTAGAAAACAACAAATCACAACATCTGACAAGAGACAGTCAGATTAAATTCCCAGCGAAAATGCAATTCAAGGCAAATATCAAAATAAAAAACCATGAGACTCACCTGTGTGACACAGGTTCCGATTTCTTTGCAGCAAACATACACCCGTTTGGATCCGGGATCCCTGAGGGTTCCAGCTGCTTTCTGAAGTTCGCTCGATTTCCACGAGACAGCAGTAGGTCTGTGAAGAGAAACAGTATTATTTAGTCCATTTCTTCAAATTGAAAATACATTTCCAAATCTAACCTTGACCATATTAATCTGATACAACTTATGGTCAGCAGTACTCAACCAATGACTATTTGACCTCCAGGCATACTATCTGACTCAACATCCACCACAGTTACATCATAACTGTAAGAACACAGGCTACTTCAGTAATTTAGAGTTGATATAGGGTAAATGCTAGAAAATTCCCATCATGGCTCAAGCCCTATGCTGGTTAAGCCGGAAATGAGTGTTCTACAGGCCATGATGAAGTGTGAGAAACACATAACCAAGTATTAGCCCAGATATGACTGGCATTATATGTGCATGATGGTGTGCAGAGATGTGCATGAAAAATTCTCCCCATAGTTCATTGTTGATCAATAGATGGCACTGGTAGCCCACAACACCCTTCAGTCTGTGGCTAGCATCTGATCAAGCTGCATCCATTCCAGCAGCTGACCAAGACATATCAAAATCCATAGTGTGCACTCTGCACTCTGTCCTACATATAAGATGTCAGGCATATCTGGGTTAATGAAATTTATTGACACCATAAATATCCCACAACTGTGATAAAGAAAATTGCTCACACTCTGATACTCTACCATGTTATTCATTTTTATAATCTCATGAGCAGCCAAATTTTCAGCAAGTGCTGGAAAATGTTCCACGATCTGTAAACCTCCCAGTTTAAAGTTTTATTGCTATTGCTAGTGCAGGGCAACTATAAAGTAAGTAATCCGCATCAGTGCAACATTGCACCTAAACAGAATTTTTGGGATGGTGCAATTACATATGTACGACAAGTGGTACGTGGGGAATCGATGCCATTTCTTACCAGCAGCTGATGCTGCTATGCAGAATAATATGCATCATGAATGCAACAGGGGTGCAGAGTTGGTAGGTACTCACTTTCTTGCACTAATGGCATGCCTTAAATAGAAATTATGCCTTGACGGTGCCTCCCTTTAGCAAGATTTTACAGATTCTGTAAGCATGAAATGATGACACAGTGACAAAGATTGTCTACATGCTGCAGTTGATTCCCTGTGTCACTTATGCTTTCTTCTTAATCACCCAATACTTAGCTCAATTCGCTCCATCATCGACGGGCTTCGTGAAAATGTGAAGTCACTTAAATTCTTTCAAAATCATCTCATCTCCCTTGTGGGCTGCATCACCTGGCACAGGGAGCCTGAATACGGTCTCACGACCCTGTAATACAACACTCATAAATACTTACTTCGAATACTTCCTAAACCTGTGTGCGCGTAAACAAACGTGTCACATCTGACCGGTAAACAAGCACTAAGCATCCTTCACTCCAAAACATTCATACATCATTACACTACGTAGAATCGGATCGAGAGACACCATGCTCGATTAGTACATCGGGTGGTGGCACCGGACATGCTTCGCGTCACCTCTTTGCCCGACCGACCAGGTCAAAGATCGTGGAAAGGGCCGGACCTTAAGGCTCCCTCCTCACTCTCGCGAAGGACCCGCATCTGCAGCCCATTCGCATCCAAAACTTCTTCAGCGGCCAAAAACCGAACGGCGAGGCGCCCACCTTCCCTCAAAAGTATCCCTCGCGACCCTCGCCTCGGCTCCTGCGCAAACATCAGCGAGGCAGGGCGTGCGTCGAACGAGCCTTTCAAGAATGACCTCCGCAGTCGTGGCGACTCGGCAGCGGAATCCCCCCACAGCGAGCCGACTCACGCGATTCCTCGCCTCACGACCCCACGATCCCTTCATAAAAAGCTACCAAGTACCGCTCCCCTCCCACATCTCGTCACTTCCTGCACTCGCGAACAGACATCACCTGCTACGTGAAGTCCACCACGTCCACCCAATCCCAACGTGCCCGCGGTGGGTAAATCACCTCCACTAAAACTTTTCTCGGTCCATTCAATTTCTAGGGTGCGATGCGTCATCTATTTCCATTACGCACTACACAAAATCAACAAGGTTTTTAAAATGTGGATAGCTGGAGCCACGAAAGGAAAGAAATCCGACGAGCAAGCTGAACCGGGATTCCTCGAAGAATTACGTAGCATTAAAAAAAAAAAAAACAGTCTCAAGCGGGCGCGTTACTCCGGTGTTGAAGTCATGCGGATTTTAAACATACATATTCTTCAGCAAGCGGAACACAACCTTCAGGTCTATGCATGTGCACATTCAATACATGCCGTTTGATTTATCGTTATTGCACTTCAGATGTTAACAGGACGCAATTTCCCTCAAGGGTGGGCACAATTCCCTCTACTTACTCCTCGGCGAGTATCGCGCTGGATTTCGCTAAAGCCAANAAAAAAAAAAAAAAAAAAAAAAAAAAAAAAAAAACAAAAAAAAAAAAAAAAAAAAAAAAAGAAAAAAGAAAAAAGAAAAAAAAAAAGAATGAGGAAAAGATGTGCCGGGAATGGCAAACACCCAGACGCACACGCTCTCTTCCTTTCCCCCCATCGCATTTTTCCACAAGGGGAAAGGGTACGCGAGGGTCGTTCTTGCACGCTCGCGAGGGAAGTCATCCATGATTCTTCCTTTTTCCTCTCTTTTCCTCCCTCTTATCTCCACCCCGGACGGTTTCGACGTGGCAGCCACACGATCCGAGTCGCGAAAACCGATCCAGGTGACATTCGCCCGACGTCTGCTAATTATATCCTCGCCAGGCATCCCGGCCGGGCCCGCCCCCCCCCCCCCCCATCCGTTTTTCGCTCTATTTTTGCTCTCTTCCGCGCACCACCCCCACGCGAGACGATAAAAAAAAACCCCGTCCGCGATCCCCCGCTTCAACGGCGGCCGCGAGAACGGAACCGTCTGCACCGCGGCGCCCGTGCACCGTGCGCAAAAAAAGTTTTGCGAAATTCGAGACGGCGCCGTTTCGATGCGAACTCGGCCTCCACAAACATCTCGACGAGGAAAGAAACGATACGACCACGCCGCAACCACCAGACGACGACCGGTTGGCAATGGCCTCGACGTGGGTCCGGAACACACGGCCGAGAAGAGCGACAAAAGAATGACGCAATCGTAAAAAATCGACAAAGGGGAAAAGTGGACCCCGGGAAGCGAAACGAAGCCATATGACCGAAGAGAAAAAAAAAAGCAAAAAAAAAAAAAAACCGTAGAAAGAGACCTCCCCGAACACGGACAAAAGGAATTCCAAAGCGATGCATTTCCAAGCCTCAACGGAATCTTGAGGCCGAGTTCATACTCCTGCAACTGCATAATTTACTGCATAATTAAATCCAACGGACGTTGACATTGAACTCTTGTATGCAGTATGCAGTTCCGACATCCAGCATGCCGTACATACAGTACGAGGAAAAAGTCGAGTGGCTCCACCGTCTCGAATATCGGCCGACCGCTCACGGCCAAATAAATCGTAAAGAAAGAACGGAATCGACCGAAACCGCCTCCTGCCGTGCATAAAAGCGCTACAAAATTCGACCGAGAGCATCATCACACGACGGACGTCGGCCAACGCGGTCCTACGTGAAAGCCTTTTCCAGCACATCGGCCATCGTGAGATGCAAAAAAAAATATCAAACCGTGCACGTGCGAACACAGCACGTCGCCCCCCCCCCCCTATCTACCGCGAAAAGGGCGAAGATAAGCAGCCTCTTCCTGCCTCTTACGCGCCCAAAACCCAAGTATGACACGGCACGATTTAATCCGGTCTTTCCGACGGCATCTCGCATGCCTCCCTCCTCCCCTCCCGTTCCGAGAAAACGCAGGCTCATCCGAATTCCCGTCTCTTCGGGCGGCGAAAACCTACGCATCGCATTCCGCGACGCGGATATCCCACGCGTGGAATCGAATGCCGTCATCGGGCATCCTCCCGGCCTCGGATTCGCCCTTCCCAGCCGCGATACGTTTCTCGCGCCCCATCGCCAAAAACCATCGCACGCGCGCGTAACCGAGCCGGTCTCCGCCGCGACGAATGCGTCAAACGATCCCCCCCCGCTCAGATGCGCTTTAAAAAAAAAAAAAAAAACGCACCCGTGCCTTCAGTCTCCTCCACGCAAAAACTGGCACGGGGAATCATCATAAATCTCATCAGCTGGCGTGAAAGCAAGTAAACACAATGGAGAATACCATATAACAACTTGTTGGCTTCCTCTTCCTCCCGTCGACTTCTCTCTACAAACGGCATCGGTCGATCGTAGTCAGTCGAGGGCTGTCATACAAATCTAGTGCCTTTTTTTTAATTTCACGATGTTCCTTCCCTGCGTCTCACTGAAACTACAGATTCGGTGACGAATACAGCTCTTTAAAACATGGTCTAAATCAGTGGTGCCCAACCCGCGAAGCCCTAACCCACAATAAATACCCTTAGGTTTCCTAAAAATAGTCTCCTACAATACTAGTGACTGGCCCGCGATGGCTGCGGGAGTGAGCTATGTGGCTCCCTAGCCGAAAAGGTTGGGCACCACTGGTCTAAACGAACAATGCGAATGGGGCTACTTCCTAGACAGCCCTTACATTCCGGTTCCGAGAAAATGAATTCTACTCGGGGCCTGCCTCTCTCTTTCTTTTTTTCTTCAAGCGAAAGAACACAGGTGCACCATTCACCAAGTACCAGACAACAGGACTGAAAGGGGAATTGATAAAATCAAAGTCGTGACATTGCAAGATTGCAGAATTTTTACTTTCTAACAAATGCCTATCCTTATGACGATCCAGTCTTTATAACTGATGACACTGCAGGAGGATAAAATTTAAAACTTTTACCATATGCTCATCCCTATTCCCCCTGGATTCCTCTTTCCTCGTGACTCCTCGGCACGAAATTGACATTAGTAACATTTTTGAGTGGAGTGGTCCCTTCATCAGAGCAGTCGATATCATCAATTAAGCCCTTTCTGTTTGACAGTTGGGGGGAGCCCTGACACGTTCCAACCAACGAATGGAAAGAGTCGACTGCCATGCTGTACTCAACTGGGAAGTAACAGAACTTGTCCCATAGTGTCCACTATATGTCACAGTGTCAACACTTCCCTATCCAACATGTAAACACATTAATGAAGTATAGAGCAATCATAGAAATGCTCATTTGATAACATATTTGGTACTACACGGGGAAAAAGATCATCAGACAACATTCCACGTCCTAGTACGACCACACGTGAAAACATGGCTAGCATTGAAGAATATTTTTATGTGGGTTGACCTACAGTCAATTACAATTACCCTCACTAAATGCATAACAGAGTAACCCTCAAGCCCCTTTCTCCTCGAGACAGTGTTTCAGTGGAGGATGGAAGATGCCATTCTTTCCATCTCCCTATCATCCACAATATATCAATAATTGCATTTTTAGGATCAGAACCATTATGCTTTACCAATGGTCAATGCCAATGATACATGGGTCAGGTTGATGCATCAACATGATAAAAACTGCAACTATGACAGTCCTCATAAAACTGTCTGAATATATCAAGATGTGGCTTGAATTCAGATTTAAAAAAAGGTAAATGGCAACTGTACAGTCCATTCTTGGGCATACGTAATTCCATACCTCTGGTACGAAAGCTTCAAAATAACTTTCTAACAAGTGTCTCCAAAGGCATTAGAATAAAAGCTAAAGCGGTGCTCAAGAGTCATCCCGTATTTCAACTTAATGAGTGGACTCCTTTACCTTTGCTTCTTGACCTTTCAGGCCCTAGGCCTGTCATGATTTCAATTCTTTTGCTATATTGTGCACATGCACAATGAGTTCCCCAAACTTTCATTCTTTTGATTTCCATCATTCATTATTTGCTACATTTTCAGAGAATTAATGTCCTAATAAACATAACTTTTTGTTTCCTGATACATGATGCATCTTTTATGAAAATAGCTCATCAGAAAAAGCTGTGAACTGAAATATACTTTATATGCTTTCTTGATAACCTATTGGAAAGTTTGGCCAAGGCTAGGCTTCATAAAGAACTCACCGCTCCAGCTATATAAAGTCATATGAGTCAAAAGTGTCTTCTTTCCTTTGTCCCGGTGAGGAGGTGCACGACGAAATGCAGTATGAGCTGATGCAACCACACCTGCAACAGATACAGAGCCAAACACATAGGTTAAGGAAAAAGAACAAAGGTAATTGCTGCACGTCCAAGTAAGGCATTTTCATATAAAGGGCTATATAGTTTGCCCCTAGAGTGGCAAAAGGCCAGGCGGATACTATTGCAGTACCTCTTACTATGCCAATGACTGATAATGGCTGTTAATAACTGATGTGGATGACTAGGGCCCAAACTCAGGAAAGGCAGGAATTGTGCAGGAAGGCAGCACCAATGTTTACAGATAACAGGACTTGTTCTTTATCTCTGCCCTTTCTTCCTTCTTTGTTTACAAAAACCCCCATCAATTAGCAAAAGGATGACTAGAAAAAACAATGGGCTCATGCAATGTGGACAGCAGATGCCAAAAGAATTTGATAATGTGCTATGTTAGCACACACTCAGAAATGGGAGGGGGGGGGGGAGAATCCTCTCAGAAATCTCTACCATTTTCAATGTTTGTGAGATTTTTCTGGCAGAGTGTATTGAAAGAATTATATAACTTTGCTAACAGTATGCCTTTCTAGGTCACATCCAGATAGTGTGAAGATTAACAAAGAAGTCAATATTTTCTTACTAAAAAATAATAATTGTCTTCATCTTCAGGATGCATAGTAACAAAAATTATGAAAGAATTTCATAATGTTCATTATTCAATTACAATCAATGTTAACAAACCAATTCCACCAGTCAGACTGCTCACTGCCTGTGCTGTCATTTTAAAGAGTGCCAAAGTGATGCACCTAGCTAGAAGCAGGGTGTGGAAAGCTCATTCATGGGATTTTTGATACTTCAACTGTGAAAAGGAATAGCATTTCAAGTACTGGGTGAAATTCTTTTCCACTTGAAAGGAATCTTTCCACTTGAAATGGCAGGTACATGAGCCTTGCACCATATTGAATGGAGATACTTAAGGAAATAAATTAGGGCACCTTTTTTGGATACACAGTATACAACTTTGTTTTTAAAACTGCCATCCTGAATACAACAGGTGACTGTGGGTCAAGGCTTTAAATTTCAATAAATTTTATTTCAATTGGCCTTCTACTAATACTTAAATTTTTTATAGAGGCAAGAAAAACATCTTGTACATCTTTTCATGTTACAGAGCTTAGCTTACAGGCCACACAAAAATTCCTTATGTTATTGGAAATGTTTAATTCCATGCATCATTACCACAAAAAAATGAATGCCTAGCACTGTCATCATTTACCTTTCTTCTATCTAACACAGGGTGCACAACATACAGAGCATGGGCTGCATGTGGTCCACCATAAATGGTGGTGTTACAAGAGCTATCATGGTTCCTGCCCTGTTGCCTGAGCATTGGTCAGCCAGCTGCGGCCTGTGGTAATGAGTAAAAAGCGCAAATGGCCCTCACATGCTTTTGAGTTGTGCACCCTTGATCTAACATCTAACAGGTGGTTGGCAATGTTGACGTTAGGTACTAGACAGTAAGCAACTAGGATAGTCTAGAGGGTTAGGCCTACCCTAAAATTAAGGAACGCTCGACCTCGACAAGTGATATCGAAATGGGCAAAATCGCCTCTTGATATCACTAACTATCCTGAAATCCTGAAAATCACCAACTTACCTGACCATGAGTATAGGTGAGTTGAATGTCATGATAAGGTGCACATGAAAATGTTGACAAAAAAACAACAAAAAATAGAGTAATTCTAAATTTTTACTTGATTTGCTATCATGATTGATGAGCATATAAGGTGGGACAAAGAAATATGAAGGGCATAGAAATAGAAATATGCTTAGTCATTTCTCAAAGCATGGATGGTGTTGTCAATGATAAATTTTCACATTCAAAGTGAGTTTATTCGTTTGTAGGGAGAATTAATGAAAAAAGTAAGAACACATTCCAAAAATGACAGACACAACCAAACAAGGTAAAATCACCTTTGGAACCTTTCTCATAGCTTTTAAAATAAAAAATTTATAAAATATTAGAAGTAACCTTCTTCATATAAAGAGGATATAAATCAACAGCTATCAGAATGCATAAATAAGAAAATGCTTAATCGATTTAAGAAATACAATACATGAATAAATGGTGGATATTAAACACTAACACACAAGTCAACATAAGTGTGGTTGGATAATAGTAACAGTTACTTACTTGGTTATACCAATCCAAGTGCCCCTAGGTTAGCCTTCTTGGGCTGAGAAATATTAGAGTTAATGCCTAATCAGTTCAATTTTCATCTGAATATGTCCTGTTGTTTAGCAAATTATCTAGCTGCATGGTATCATTACTTCATACATTGAACCTTGTACTGTCTGTTTATGCATGCCGATCTTTGTGGCACCATGAGTCAATGTTTTGTCTCACATAACAGTTCATGAAGCATAAATATTTTCCTTTTTAAGTGCCCTTCCTTTTTTCTTTTTGGGTTTTGTTTCGTTTGACTTACTTCACATTTGTGCTTATCCCTGTTTTATTTCATTTCACCTGATTTTCTCCAGAGGTGATGCTAATTATTTTTAATCAGAGAAACAACGGTTGATATAAATTAAAAATTGGGCCAAGAGTTCAGGGATGGTTTCTCTACTTTGAAACTGGAAAAGTCACTGGTACTGGGAAACTAAGACATACGTCAAAGATAGTTCCAATTGATACCTTTGTGCAGGCAAGGAGCTAGGGCCTAGTCTCCCTCGACCTAATATTAGATCTGATAGGCATCCTCTATAGATCAGGTTAAGCGATGCCAACGGATCTACACAACCTCTGAGGTTGGCTCAACGTGGGTTTCGGCCAATCTTTGGAGTTTGGCCTAGTTCTAACATGAGGTAGTTGGGTCAAGTTGAGTTCGTCCCACCTTTGATGAGGTAGTTTTGACTAGGCCTAACTGACGATACAATAGGCTTAGGCGCAAGCATACCTTGAAAGGAGGGAGCGGAAACGCTTTTTCTTGACTCCAATTTGCGTGAATTTTGCGTACGACGGTTTGAGGTGCAGCAATACGTCAGACCTTGCAGCAGGGAATATGGCCGGAAAGCCCTGTCGAGCTCTTCTGCTTTCTCTCGGGAGCATGCGCCACTCACGAGAGAAAAGACGTCATCGTCTCGCCTTGGCACGAGCTTGCGAAAGTCCGGAAAAATACGAAGATCCCTGCTCGTTCGAATTCCTTTCAATTTATGTTTCTATTTCAGGAATGTATGAATGGTAAATTAAGCTTGATTTCCGTTTTATAAATTTGCTGAAATATGACGTCTTTTGACGTCATGACCATGAATCAACCATGAAACATTTCCTGTCTCTGGAATGATCGAAAGAGGAATTCTCGAATGTGCCCTGCTCATCTATGGTGCCCCCGTGCTCCGTGTGGCGCCAATGTTGAAAACATTACGAGACAAGGCTTAGCCCTATGCGGGTTGCGGAAAAATGTTGAAGTCTGGTGGATACAACAAACAGATTTAACGTCTGGACGTCGTGAACCTGGTGTATTCATGGATGTACAGCCTGTTGAAATTGAGGAAATGGTACAATAACTAGTGTTATTTGATCTGAAATGACAAATGGATTATCGTAACTTCATATCACGTTATCGGGATTTATGGTGTAATTCCTTGCACAGCTATTTTAAGCCTGCTTTATTTTGCCCTGCACGTTTTAATTTAGGCTAGGACTATTAACTAGTTGTAACTAAACAATTGTAAACCAAGTTTCTTAAGGAAAATCGATTCATAATATACTATGGCTACTTGTTAAAAGCCACTTTTTTCAACAGGCAAAGGAAAATTTTGGGAAGTGCTGAGTAGAGTAATGACCTGTTGGTCATTGGTCTTTCGTTGTCAACATGCCCAACAAGGGCCATTTGATCATAAATGACTGTTGACCAGTCAACATCCTTTCCTCAATCTATGACATATCAAAAGATATGTTGAGGCATCCTTCCTTTTCCATTTCATCCAAAAGTCAAAGCACAGATGCCCTATTCCAACATATAACCTAGGACTGGTCTGTCTTAAGTAAGCATGGCCTAGTGGTAAATGGAATAATCCGACGCTACTACTACTTTTAGCTTTCAGATTATGAGAGATGTCTACATCCAGCCACCAATCAAGATTCTCGGGTGACTTCTTTGATGACTCTTCATCTCAGACACCAAATTCTTCCAAAGGCAGTGAAAGCTTCTCTCCAGTTACCAGTAATAAACAGGGTAGGGTTGCAGTAAGGTCAAATAAAAGCAACTATGATGATGGTGAAGGAGATGATGCAGATTCATCCATTCAAGTTGTGTATAGTAGTACTGAAGACAATACTTCAGTTGATGAATCAATTGCCATCATTGATGAGAGCTCTGAATCTGTGCAAGAATCACCCTCAATAGATGACAGCACTGAATCTGTGCAAGACTTAACATCGGATTCTGACGAGGTGAGTTTATCTAGTAGGAAATTGGTACAGTAATATATAAGTATTGGGGCTTAATCGGTCTGGTGGACACCTGCTTTGCACAAAATCGGTTACATGGACACCTAACTAGTTCATAGGTTAGCAGCATTTACAAATAGGGATACCATGGGATTCCCCCCTGTTATGGATGGAATGATGATGGTGAGTGTCATAGTGCCCTTGAAGGAGGTGGATCAGAGGAGGGTGAATTCTGACAACATTTGAGAATGGTATGTCAAGGCAAGACAGTTCTATGGCCAAATCGCAATTTTTTTTTGCTAATTTGGATGAGAACAGATTACCTCTATATTGATTTATAGTCCATGGGAGCATGTTCAAATAGATTAACTGTTCTTTAAAGCTACATCATTGTTCTGTAAGTTTCATGCCTGAGGAAGGACAACAATTCTGTAGGTTACTTATTTAGCTTGGAGTAGTTCCATTGAGACAACAGATGTCACTCAATAGGTTGACATGTTAAACTGTTCAAAGGGGAACCTGCTTGTCACAGAGGCTCAATATGGTGCAGCTCATGCATGGATAAACAACTGCTGGTGGAATAAGAGCTGAGAAAATAAATGATTTGCTACTGGCTATGGTAGCCATGGTTTCCACCTGCCCCAGTCAAGGTACCTTACATAGTATCCATCTGTATAGGCAGGTGTCCACCAGACTGATTAAGCCCAAGTATTGTAGGTGCATTAATCAGAGCTTTGGAATTGAATTTTATAAGTTGCTTGTACTATTCCTTTTGACTTCGTCCCTATGGGCTGCAGTTTCTGTTGTGTTGCATACAATTTAAATTTGCCTTGTTTTGTTACAAAAGTAATTCCACTCAATTTTTCTTGTAGCAGCAAATGATCAGACTTTTTCTGAAAGTAACCAAAAAAAACCAAGAATATTATTTCAATTTCATTTCAAGTAATTTCATGACTGCCAATTACGAAGGTATAAATACATTAAAATCAATATCTTTACCTGCTCTCCATTAAAATAATTGACAAAAATTAATGAGTTTTGTGAGTTTTATCAAAAATCATCTATCTAGATGTATATCTAAAAATATGAACTTGTGAGTGTCCTTAATGTGATTGACACAGGTATTGCAAAGGGAAATGCTTCAAATGCATTCCATTCTGAGGTTATGTTCTTACCATGTTTCTGAATTCTTCAATCTCAGCTCTTTCCCTTTGCTTTTGCAGAGTGATGGTGTCAAACTAGCAGGAAAAGTCTCTCAAAAGAGACAACAAAGAGGTAAACAGATTCTGTATGTCATTTTGCATTTGATGCTCTTTTTATTTTACCTCTTTATTTTCACATGGGTTGTGAAAGGGAGATATTGATGATAAGACAAAAGAGTGAATATTATTTGATGATTTGAGCATTTCTAGAAAAACAACAAATTATTTTTCAAACTTAAGAATTGTTATTGAAGAAAAATTGTTTTCCACTAGAGAGCTGTGGCACTTGGCTTCATGGTTCAAAGTCAAAGTGTCTCACTTCTTATTCTCCAGTAAGGTAAAAAAAAATAACAAAAACAAGTTCTTACCTACCTGCAAATTTATGTAATAGCATTTTTCTTGCAAGATCATTGATAATATGAATGTCCATGTCATTTGGCACTCAATTTCAGAATTGAATTACCTCTAGTTTTAATCATACCTTCCTGTGTAAGAATTATGGGAAATAGAGAGCTTGAGACACTTGTCATGAGAGAGGAGGGAATAGAAAATCCAAGGTGCCTTCAATACATGTATGAAAATCAGGATGCCTTCTCAGATGTGCTGGGTGACTGGCAAGCAATTGAACTTCCATAGAGTGACAAAGCACATTGGGATACATGAAGGAATTCTTTTAGCCATTCTTACCAAAAAGTATCATTAATCCATTTAGTGCCATATTGCATCATTGTTTGGTCCATGTGTGAGGAGGAAGGGAGGTTCTCAGCACTAAGAGGGTTAAGGATTCTTTGCCACAAAATGTTTATCACCAAATGTGTGGGGTGGCTATGGACTAAGTTTTGTAATTCAGGGGTGAGGTTGAAATTAAAAAAATGTAGCTCACATGTCTGTTTTTCCATTTCTGCATTAACTCTAATGATTCTTTTGAAGATGATAATCTTGAAAGATAATGGCAGATTCCCTTCAGTTCCCAGTACCAAGCTGGTCAGGTCCAATGAAGCAGAAGAAGATGATGATGATGATGAGGAAGATGAAGATGAAGATGATGATGATGATGATGATGATTATGAAGATGAAGATGTTTCCATCCAAGCTGTATCCAGTCGTCTTGAAAGCACTACTTTAGAAGATGGTTCGATAGCCATCATGGATGAGAGCACTGCATCTGTGCAAAAATTGTCAAGTTCTGACAAGGTGAGGTTAATACAAGGAGGTTGGTCCAGTGGCATTTATTGTTTCAAAGTAAGCCTTTAAAACTATTATTTGATATAAAATTCTATTGGTATAGGCTCGTTGGCCAGCTATATTAGGCCTTAAAATTGTTGAATTCTGGAACATACTGGCACTACCCCATTGCTTTTCCAGATTGATGACAACAAGATGTCCAGTAGAATTTCTGTGGAGAAATACCATATGGGTGAGAATGGGTCCATTGTCTTGGACTTACTATTGGTGTTATTTCTATTCTTTAACATATTGATGAGCCAAACTGTACTGCTAATTTGAAGTAAAAGAATCATTAGGATATACTTTGGTGAAGGTGAGACTGTTCAATTCATGTCCTGTTAGTTTACAGTGTAGATGGTAATGATATGTTTGGAGATACTGATTTTTGTGGATGCTCTGTCCACCTGCAGAGGAAGTACCTTCTGTGTGGACAAGATGTCCATACTTATTCACACTTCTCCACTTACTGGAGAGTATCATATTGCCAGCAGTATGCAGGTTGTCTTGAAATTGGTCCTGAGATGATGGGAAGAAGTTGAGATGTGTTTCTGCTTAATGAACAGTTAAAATGGAAGATCAGGTGGATCATTCAGCACTGTAGCATTATTTTCCTGGACAACAGGTTTGTTGGTTGGTACAGTATTTGTGGAGTTTTTTACTTTGATAGGAAAAAATAGCCAAATGTGCATACTTAAACTACATCACAAGCCCAAGTTAGGAAAACCCTCTAGGTCAAATGATATCTGATATCCACCATTTCAGAATGGCCAACTGTTTCTTTGCTTTCTTATTCATCCCATATATATTCTGAGATGGTGTGGCTATGGGGTATGAGAATATACCGCATTCTCAGGCACGGTGGATCATAAAATAGCTTGACTATAAAAGGAAGACAGGCAGAAAATCAAGGAAGTCTTATTGTAAAACAAATTCAGTTTTCATTGTAATTTTAAATATATGCAGTATAGGGTGACTCACTTCAAAAGTTTACTGATGAATCACCATGTACCCTATACATTGTTTTGAGGTTCAGATGCAGACTCAATGTTAAATTTAGGGTTTGAAAAATAGAGCCCATGTTTCTTTTAAGAGTAGTTTAGAATTTCATCCTACAGAAGAAAGCTTCTGATCAAAGCTCTATTATGAGAACACTTACTTTTATTCTAAAAAGTTGGTATTTTATTATGTGGATACTGATTAATTCACTCATGATTGCTTTGTATGATTTTTTTCTTTTCATTTTTGGCTGTTGCTCCATTAAATTTCCCCTTATGACAAACCCATGCTTGGTGAATATTCACTGCACTTCTGTTGTGTTGTCTGTAGAGAGAAGCACCAGTGATGAAAACAGCACAACAAATGGTGATAAATCACCTTCCACTTCTGCAAACTTCTCAGGTGAGTTTTCTTTCACAAATCACAATTACACATGTATCTTGTACCTAATTTTGTCAGCCATGTTGCTCTGTTGGACGACCAAGACTTCCTTTGATTTCTATGATTTGTATAACCTTGCCTTCTTTTCTTTTGTTGCTTCCATAGGTAGCTCAAGGGATTCCTCAGGTTCTTCAAGCCCCAGTACAGCATTCCATGTCGAGCAAGAGATAAAGAAAAAAGAGGTGAATTACTCATAACTCAAGGAATTTATGTATATGCCAATGATGTTGTGAAGAATTTGGTCTTTCAAATGAGTTGGAAACAAGTTAAGGGTATACATATCTGCAATCAGGTAGTCAGACCTTATGCCACCACTTGGTATAGCACCACCCTTGCTTATTGCCAACATTTTCCTATGAACTAATCTCCCAATAGGCTCACAACAGGGAATATGGTTAATTTGACAGAGCCATTTTCATTATAGCACCAAAATTGGCTATTACCAACTGTGGCATTAAATGGAGCTTTGACTGTTTTTGTGTCTGATCAGATGATATGAATTGTCCCTTATTAAGGATGTGGCAAATAAGACGAACGATTTCGACCTGTGTATCATTGCTCTTGTTGGAGTTATTTTCACAAAACTTGCATAAATTGATATGTTCCCAATAGGCTTTTTTGACATATATGTTAAAAGATTATATGTGATATACATGTTAAATGTTGTTGGTTTTGATTTTTTCACATATCCTTTATATTGGGTTGGAAAGAAAGTCTTGCAACACTTTCTGATGAAGCCCTGCGGAATGCCCTCAACACGAAGCCAAACGCCACCACTTGCGAATTGGCGACTACGCTTGGAGTCACCCATATGGCCATTGGCAACCATCTGAACGACCTCGGCTATCGGAAGGTTTACTCGACATGGGTCCCTCATCGGCTCAGCGACTCTGAGCCGTGTCAGTGTCTGCGAATCACTGCTTCTTCGTCCGCACAGAAATAAACAGTACAGTACCCTTGACCAGGTATTTGTATTACATACACTGGTAGAAAAGTACCTCAGTCAGAAGAAAGGAATCATATATAATTGCTTTGTAGATTTGAAGAAGGCATTTGACAGTGTGAATAAAGCCCTGTTAATTAGGAAATTTGGTAACATGGGGATGTGAAGGAAGATGCTAGGAATGCTGAAAGCAAAACTAAAAAACAATGTTTAGGGTGCAGATGGAAAGGAACAAAGTATCTGAAGTTTTTCAGAATAATATCGGTGTTAAACTGGGCTGTCAACTCTCCCCAGTCTTATTTCATCTATATATTGGGTTGGAAAGAAAGTCTTGCAACACTTTCTAAAACTATTTATAAAAATTTTCAAAGGAATGATGGGCGGAGCTTTTATAACATACTCACAAGAGTCAGTGGCTTCCATGAGGAGAATTGCCACCACACGAACTGAAACCAGGGTTCCACGAGAAGAAGGTTCTTCTCTGCTGTTGGTGGGATTCAGAAGGAATGTTGTACTATGAGCTCCTGCCAACCAGTACCACTGTGACTGCCATCGTCTACACTGCTCAACTTCAGAAGTTGGCTGGTGTCATTCTAATAGATGTCCCAAACGCGACAAAGTTCTCCTTCTGCATGACAATGCTTGTCCACATGTTGCGAAGATGACTTGGCCCCTTCCAACTATCACTTGTTCCGGACCCTCAAGAATCACCTGCGGGACAAGGCCTTCGACGATCGAGCACGGCTCGAAAATGATGTCGGCCGTTTCTTCGCTTCGCAATTGCCAGAGTTCTGGGCAAAGGGCATCGAGCAGTCACCTGTGCGTTGGGAACATGTCATAGACAACAATGGTCATTTACTTTGTAGACTGAAATTGTATTTCAATAAAGTTATAAAATTTTGAAAAATTGCGCAGTGTTGCAAGACTTTCTTTCCAACCCAATACTTGGTTGATTTCAACGGGGTGATCCATTATGTAAAAGTCATGAAGAGTGTTCTGTCGGAGCCGTCGGTGTGGAGTCTCCCTTTGCCTTTCCACGAACGATTTTTTGTCTCCAGCTGCCGCCCTCAAGAGGTGGAACGATGCGTTCTTCCAGGGGATTCCCAATGGCGACTCTGAACGGTAGAACTTTGTCGGGAATCCAAAATCGAAAATGCCGATTTTAAAACTGGAATTTTCTGATTTCAGGTGGTTAGAAGTTCCATGAGTTTTAGGAAGCCAAAAAAATTCGAACATCGACTTAATTGTATGAAAAAAACACGTCGCAATGCTTCTCTCTACACATCAATGCGTTTTACTTCTGGAATTCGGATTTAGCCCTTATCTACCGATACTTACCGAAAATATGGGATTACATCTGATTGAGTCAGATATTAAATGCTGAAAAAGATAACCAAAAAAGGCACCAAAAAACACGAGTTCTGAAAGCGATACAGCTCGAAAGCATTAAGGCAATTGCAAATCGCCAGAGGGACGCACGTTCACTCCGAGGGGAATTATTGCGTCTTCCCAATGCAAATTATCTCCCAATGACAGATTGAATATTGAGCGGTCGTGACGAAACTCCGAGGGGCGGTCGAGTCGTATATGTGAAATTCTTGCTCAGTCCTGAAACCAGATATAATGCAGAGGCCTCGACCCCTTTTTGTTCCTTCCCTATGGGGTGGCTTGAAATCAGTCTAAATAGGGAACTAATGAGCTGTTTGCGTGATTCGCGAATTCGCTTTTTGCCAGAATTTCACGTGAATTAAATAATAGCATTTAATGCGCTTCTCATGAATGATGTAAGCAGAGACGAGCCACTCCTGCATTAAAATTCATTAAGACCGGTCACACGCAATTACCTCGAGTTTCGAATGGCACGCGGTGGGACGGGGATGAGTTTGTAGGGATTCCTCTTTAAGCAAGAGGCAATTGAAAGAATTTATTCGATGTGATGAGATTCGCTGACCGATTCGATGCCGCTCGAAGTCGTCGGTCTATATATCTCTCTTCATTTCTCTCGCGTGAAATTGGAAAAATAAAACAAGCGAATCGCATGGGCGATGCAATCTATGTTACGAATGTGACCGGGGGGGGGGGGGCTCCAAAGGGGGGGGGGGGGGGGGGTTACCAGCAAATCGGGAACAAAACGTTGAAAGCTAAAATGATGTGGAGTAAGTCAGTGATTGACGATTTCTAATGAGTTCGCCTAATATACAGCAAAATCTTGACCGTTATTTGTAGACAACAGAATACCTTTGTTTCTGAAAATTCTTACCCTCGTAATGTGAAAACCAATTTTCAATCGCTTTCCTTATTTTCAACCTCCCCCCCCCCCCCTCCAGCTTCTCTACGGGACTCACTAACGTTAGACTTAGGCCTAACCAACAGACTGCCTTCAGATCACGTCAAGGCCTACCTTTTCCTTTTCAAAAGAAACTAAATTCTTGACTTACGGCGCCAATTAGGCCTATAAAGGTGAATCGTGGTCTTCGAGACATCTGGTTAAGGACGTGTAACGTTAGGCAAATCGCAGGCCTATTCATACGTTCACGAACCATTCAGAGTGGACGTGTAACGTTAGACCGATTGGAGGACTGTGTCGCGTTTCATGAACCATTTCAGTGCGGACTTTGAACGTTAGGCCCATCATGAGTTCCTCGAACTATCTCGAATAGGTCTAAGGAGAGAATGCCCTCAAGCAGCATGGAATCCATGGTACGCGCCATCCTGTTAATTCAGGGATGTCCGAATAAGATATCAGCATATCCCACCACATCGATCAATAACAGCTAACCACCGCTNAGAATGCCCGCAAGCAGCATGGAATCCATGGTACGCGCCATCCTGTTAATTCAGGGATGTCCGAATAAGATATCAGCATATCCCACCACATCGATCAATAACAGCTAACCACCGCTTCACTCTCAACTCATCTCATGAAATCAGCATAAACATGTCTCATGCATTAAAAAATAGAAGAATTGCAGTAGTAGGAAATTCGTCGGAATTAGAAAATAACTCGCAACTGAAATCTTTGAAGCTGGGTACAAATTCGGCAAGTACATTCCATGGTGATTGGATGCGCCTCATTGCAAAAATTTACATTTCTTTTTATGCAGTTGCGGAGTCAACAGACGTCACATCCACAACAGATGCCTCCTCGGCCCTTACAGACACCGAGTCGACCCCTACTGATACTGAGTGGACCGCAAATGACACCGATTGGACAGCTACGGACACCGAATCGACCCCTATGCCCGCTGAGTCGACCCCTATGACCACCGCGTCGACCCCTACTGATACTGAGTGGACCGCAAATGACACCGAATCGACCCCTACTGATACTGAGTGGACCGCAAATGACACCGAATCGACCCCTACTGATACTGAGTGGAC